AAGGAGTCCAGACCAAGTCTGCTGTGACACACACAAAAGGTGATTTTGCGCACTTGTTTTTGTATCAGTTTGTGAACAGATTTTTTCAACATAATGCAGTTCATGCAGTGTGAATATGTGGTATATAGAAACAGTATCCATTACATCACCAACTTTGAGCTTTGAAACTTTGAACTAGGACTGTAGTCGCGATTTTAATGTAAACATGGGGAACCAACCTTAAGAAGGGTCAAAAACTAGTTCCAGAGAAGAAGTTTAGCTAAATACAAAATAATTTGTCAATAATTTATTAATGAATAAAGAAAATCTGTTCCGTTCAATCAAATTTCATTTATATAGTGCAACATGATAACAACAGTTGTCTCAAGGTGATTTATATTTTAGGGTAAAAACTCTATAATAATATAGAGAGAACAGAAACCCCCAAAATTAGATGACCCCCTACGACAGGGGTGGGGAAGCTTTTTTATATGAAGGGCCATTTAAATGTTTATATATTTCTCAGAGGGACATACTATTATGAACACATACCTAGGGATCCAAAAAGAAAGACCAAAAAAGCTACATGAGGTTTCAGCTCGCCAACACACCTCACAGCAGCCGGAGGTGACAACACAAGCTTGACACAGGGGTCGAGGGGACACGGGAGAGAGGGCGACAGAGACAAGACTAAGACACACAAAGGACAAGGGAGACTTAAACACAAGTTAGAACATAATACAAAAAAGGCACAAAACTCAAAATGCTGGTTCAAGATGAACCAGAACTATGACGTAACCAACTGCAAAAAAATAATGATGAGATTCATTTAAGATAAGATAAGATAAGATAAGATAAGATAAGATAACCTTTATTAGTCCCACGTGTGGGAAATTGTGTTACAGCAGTGGACAATCCAAAGTTACATGGAAAATTAGAAAAAAGAAAAACACTGGAATAAGATTTCAATAGATACTGTACACAACTGTACACAATAGAATAGAATAGAATAAAATAATATATACAATCGAATAAAATAGAATACAAATGCTATATACAATTGAGTATAATACAACGATGCCAGAAAAGAGTATTGCACTTCATTTGCACTTAATTTGAGATTACAGAGCACAAAAACTGCTACTGTTCTGAAGTGCATTACTATTTAACTATTGATTACTGAATTGGCCAAGTGGTTACATTCTTGGGATTTACATGTAAACAGAACAGCTAGAAAGAGACACAACACGAGATAGAAATGGATAGCAGCCATGAATATTTCACGTAGCAGAAGCTTGTTGCTTTTCTTTTCTGTTTTTAACCACAGTAGCATTTTACTGCTAGAGCAGCAGAACAGCATGAAGCAGAAGCATTAATGATTTATATCAGTTAAATAACAACAATAGCATTTGTCCTGAAAAGCAACTGATAACTATATTTTAATCACTCGAGCAATTTCTTCTGACATAAACACATAAACAACAAGATCCTTATAGCGTTATTTCCCGCTGTTATGAAGCATTGAATTCATTTGACAGCTGTACAAACTTAATCAAATTTTTAAAAAGTAGTGTGGATGAGTCATCTCCAGATATTTTAGCTCAGGACATGACTGAGCTAAAATAACCACTACTCTTTTTATTCTGGGTCAGTATGAAAAGACCCAGTTTGATCTTTTTATTCTGACCAGCAGTGAAGAGTTTAAATCAGAGAAAACATGAAAGCAGGTTTTATAGAAGTACAGCAGAGAGCAAATACAGAACACGGTGCCTCATACACAAGATGTGTTTCCATCACTTCAGAGATGCACGTTTACATTGGCATATTAATTTCATGGAAAACTCCCATGATCATAACCAGTATTTATTTAAAACTTAATCCTAAACCTCACAAGTTCATCCTCGTGGGGACTTGCTTCATGTCAAGAAAATATAAGTACACATGGAGCCATACTGGCAGTGTGGCAGGTCAGTGAACTGTAGCTGTGATGGATAATTGATGAGAAGGCAGGAGGTGATAATAGCAGAGTATTTCATGAAACTGAAGACGAGAGAAGCCCTGGGATGATGCAGTCTGTCTAAATGACTATGACATCCTAATCTCAGACAACAAACAGTTGATAAGCATTATGGACAAAGATTCATGTCTGTGCCTCTTTTGTGGATAGTCTTGATGTTGTAGACAGCAGTGATCCTCCAACTTTGTGTCACCATTTTGGATTTTGATTGACGTAGATAACAAGAACATATAATAAAAATTTGACATTTGACTTTATAAATGGAACACAACAACCCCTCATGCTCAAAGCTCTATAAAGATAGAGGGAACCGTTTGGTGCAGTAATTGGAACTGACCCACACAATTCATCCAACCCCACTCCAGCAACTTTGGTTGCTGATTTTTAACTGCGTACCAGAACAATATACACATTTCTTGTCCGACAGGTTATTGTCTCCCCAGAAACTCTCCCCTTGTGCTTTAGGAACTCTGTTTTTTCCCATTTGTATTTTCGTTTTTACTATTTCTGTTGTGTTTTGTGTGCTTTTGCAGTGTTTTTCTTATTGCTGGTGTTTTCTTAAGTTGCAGTCCATTTGGCCTCTAAGGGCCACCGTAGCTCTCTTTATTCAACACCATATTATAACAGCGCACCGTTCACAAACTGTTTGCTCCTCCTGAACATCAACACCTGGCAATAATTACTTGTGCCTACCTTAAATAGATTCACCGTACCAGGAAACAACACACACACACTAAAGGTGACCCCTGGCGGCAGCTATAACAACCCCCAAAATGGGCCCCACAGTGGTTAAATTGCACATTAGTTTAGGCACAAAGAAAACTTCTTGTCCTTCTGTGCTTGATACTGTCGACCATAATATCCTATTAGAGCGATTAGAACATGCTGTAGGTATTACAGGTACTGTGCTGCAGTGGTTTGTATCATATCTATCTAATAGACTCCAGTTTGTGCATGTAAATGGAGAGTCCTCTTCACACACTGAGGTTAATTATGGAGTTCCACAGGGTTCAGTGCTAGGACCAATTCTGTTTACATTATACATGCTTCCCTTAGGCAGTATCATTAGAAGACATAGCATACATTTTCACTGCTATGCTGATGACACCCAGCTCTATCTGTCCATGAAGCCAGATAACACACACCAATTAGTTAAACTGCAGGAATGTCTTAAAGACATAAAGACCTGGATGGCCGCTAACTTTCTGCTTCTAAATTCAGATAAAACTGAGGTTATTGTACTCGGCCCTGAAAATCTTAGAAATATGGTATCTAACCAGATTCACTCTGGATGGCATTCTTGGCCTCCAGTAACTGTGAGGAACCTTGGAGTCATTTTTGACCAGGACTGCTTTCTTCATTTGACAATATCTCTAAAATTAGAAATATCCTGTCTTAGAGTGATGCTGAAAAACTTTGTTCATGCATTTATTACTTCCAGGCTGGACTACTGTAATTCATTATTATCAGGATGTCCTAAAAACTCCCTGAAAAGCCTTCAGCTAATCCAAAATGCTGCAGCAAGAGTACTACAGGCTATGTTTTTCTTTGCGGAAGTTTATCCAAACATTTTTATTGCTTTGTATCCTCCTGAGAACCAAGGAAAAACGATCTTCCAATTAACTTTTTTTGTTGTAATTTCCTCGTTCTTTGGGCAGAAGCCACCCAAACACATGAGATATCATTGGAAAGCCCAGGATGTCCTCTATTAGTACTCAGGCTTGTGGCATGGTTCTAGGTAAATCATTTCAGTTAACTGTACCGTTGCTCTGTATGCCAATTTTCTCCAGCTAAACAAAAACAAACTGAGGTAATAGTCTTTGGAGCCAAAGAAAAACGATTACAGGTCACCAGAGAACTTCAATCTATACACCTAAAAACCACAAACCAGGCGAGAAATTTGGGTGTAGTGATGGATGCAGACCTAAACTTAGAAAAACACATTAAGACAATAACAAAGTCAGCTTACTATCACCTCAAGAATATTATCAAGGATAAAAGATCTGATGTCTCAACAGACCTGGAAAAACTAGTCCATGCATTCATCTTTAGTAGGCTTGATTACTGTAACAGCATCTTTACAGGTCTACCTAAAAAATCAGTCAGACAACTACAGCTCATTCAGAACTCTGCTGCTCGAGTCCTCACTAAGACCAAAAAAGTGGACCACATCAGTCCAGCTCTGAGGTCTTTACACTGGCTGCCTGTCCGTCAGAGGATAGACTTTAAAGTTCTGATGCTGGTCTATAAAGCTCTGAATGGTTTAGGACCAAAATACATCAGTGACCTCCTGACCCAGTATGAACCTTCCAGATCCCTCAGGTCATCTGGATCCGGTCTTTTATCAGTTCCCAGAGTCAGAACCAGACACGGAGAAGCTGCATTCAGCTTTTATGCTCCTTATATCTGGAACAAACTCCCAGAAAGCCTCAGATCAGCTGAAACACTCAGTTTATTTAAATCCAGGTTGAAGACTCACCTGTTCTCAGCTGCATTTGAATAAAGCACCAAATCCACACTTTTAAGCTTAAATTTCAAAACTTACATTTAACTACTGATTTTATCTACTGTTCTGATTTTATCTGTTTTGATTTTATATACTGTTTTGTTTGTTTGTTAATTAGTTTGTTTGTTTGCTTGTTTTAATCAATTTTAAATCATGCTTTTTATTTGTTTTTGTTTCTAATGTCTCTGTAAAGCACTTTGAATCACCTTGTTGTTGAATTGTGCTATACAAATAAACTTGCCTTGCCTTGCCTCCTAGCAGCCACCTTATGGTGAAACTGCTGTACTACAGCTAAGGCCTACACTTATTCACATTGGCGTCAATAAAAGCAAAACTGATAACAGCCCTAAAATGCGAATACACACAATGCACCTGATTCTATTATTAGCTTAAAAAAATAATAAGATAAAGATAAAAAATAAAAGAACAATAAAAGTCAGTCATTAATTGTTACTATCTTACAGTTAACTTTAAGATTTAATAAAAGGCAATAACGTATACATTTTAAATATTTATTAACCAGTTTAAGAAATATATGTTGTAATCTAATAATCTACAAACAGAAGATTTTCAAAAGTGCTCAAGTGATAAGTATTGATAAATGCATTAATTACCAAAAAATACAAAAATTTAACAAAACCAAAAGTATTTTTGTAGCAAGTAAAATTCCAGCTAGGACAAACAGGTATTTATATAATAAAGCCTCCACTTACAGACTGTTAATACATACACTGATACACTGAACTAGAAACTGATGTTGTGATATATGTTGATGAAAAGAGACCCATAACTCTACAGTCCATTCATGTGGAATCTGAATTTATTAAAGTTTTAACTTTCATTTAAACTAATATTTGTTTGTAGAACGCACAATGCATTTCTGAACATCAGAAACTATTAATCACACACTAATATGGACATTTGTAAATCTTGTTTTGTTGTACCAGCATCATCTGGTGCCAGAATGCCTGGAGTGAATACACACAGTGCAAATAACACTGAAATCCAAGACCTCCAAAAGGGCTGGTGAGCACTGCTGAGCAGGGACACTGCTTAACCCAGTTTGGAGATAATGATGCTACCTTTGATCCATAAGGTATCAATGTCTTTGAGTGATGTCACTCTGTGGTGAAAATAAAACAGCTGCTGGCCATCCACAAACACACGAAATCTGCTTTGTTCACACCGAATCTCAATCTGTGAGGACAGAGCGAATGTTTGGTTAATTTTACAGTCTTTTTCTTTCAGGAGTGGTGTGCACTGAGTAGTTGCCATTCATTCATGTACTCCTTGTTATTGCCGATCATTTCATGACACCCAAAATCACTCGGTAACAATAACATATCCATGCAATGTACTCTATTTTGCACTAACATATTCTACACATGTAATTTATATGTATAGCATAAACTCATAAATGCCATTACAGTATCAACAAGTTTATGGTACCTTGAAGGGCTGGTCTCTGATGAAGGGGAAAAAAGGAACAGCTTTGTCAACATCTCCCCAGGATCCAGACATGCAGGCTCTTCGTAGCACTTGTCTGTCCTTGAATCGAACACACATTTCCAGAGCCACATCAGGTGGAGGCTCCCTGGATGTGCCACAACCACATGTCAGGGCAATGTAGAACCTAACAGGGGGATGGATATACAGTATGAATCTGGCCACACCTTTCCTTAGATTATCACATAATAAATGAATTTTATATGCAGTGGTTTCTCAAAAGGGAATCCTACAATCAGGCATCGCTTTGGACTTGAATAATGGAGAAATCTCTGTAGGAGAGGCGATTACCGTACTGATGTCACTGACTTTAAGCCCATCTTCACCCCTCAAAGTCACAGAGACCTGTTTTAAATTCTGTCTAGATAACATTTCTTCAGCATTCACTTCAAAAGTATTTAAGGCAGCTGTCTCAAACTCAGAGCTGCTAGGGGCCACTGCTGGAATGCTTAAGTATTCAATCAGAACAAAAAAGAAAACATCCACAAATATTTCCAAAAATGTAGTTTTTTTATTTTAAATATTGTATAACGAGACAAAACTGCAGATGTAAGCACAATTGTTTTTCTCATGCTTAACTAACTCATCGGGCATTCTGCACTGGCTGCAGTGGTTATTATTATATTTACATGCTTTCATTTTCCGTTTCTCATGAGTAGCAACTCGTACTTTTTGACCCTCCTTTTTCTCCCTCCCTCGCCCTCACATGCACACAACAGGAGGGGCTGTCCCACACATTCCCCCTGCAGCACAGACTACACTGTCCATGATGCAACATTCTTAAAGGGCCCGTAACACTCTGCTCATGCTGCCTTCATATTAAATAATTTTAGAGGAATAGGTATGGAGGGAAGAAGGATCTCGTATATAGTGTGGTAATACTGTGGGAAGGATGGAAAGTCAGTAATTACACAAAACATTTCTACCTATCAGGATGGGGATTCACAGTACCAATCACTATGATCCTTTTTCCCAGCTGCATTCCTCCTGGGATACGACCTCTGAAAGGAACTGCCTGCACACACAAGCATTTGCATAGAGCAACAAAATGCTGAAAAACCACAGTTAATTAAATTTGATTTAAATAATAAAGTTAAAAACTAAAAAATCAAAAGGCAAGCAAGTGGTGAGCCTAAATAATTTTGGATGAATCTAATGGAAATATATGGTACAATAAAATTACAAAAATTACTGAGAATTCACGAATAAAGCTGAAAACTTTTAAGACAAAACAGAAAGAATACAAATGTGTTTTTTGTTGAAAAAATTAAATTCACTTCTGTAGCACCAAATCACAACAACAGTCACCTCCAGGCAGTATATATTGTAGGGCAGTCACTGTATAAATGGTAGCATAATCTGACCAGAAAAGGCTGAAGTGTTACTTTATTTCCAAAATGTTTTCTAAGTAAAGTGTAAATTGGATAAAAATAAAAATTTTACAAGATCCACTGCAAAATAAATAGAAAAATACACATTTTATATTATATTGTGACACTAAAATAGCACCAGTTATTATTATTATGGATGGAAAATATATGTAATCATATTTTGTTTGTTCTTGCTTGTGTATTACGTAACACGTCAGGCAGATTACTGCTTGACCATAATATCCTATTAGAGCGATTAGAACATGCTGTAGGTATTACAGGTACTGTGCTGCAGTGGTTTGTATCATATCTATCTAATAGACTCCAGTTTGTGCATGTAAATGGAGAGTCCTCTTCACACACTGAGGTTAATTATGGAGTTCCACAGGGTTCAGTGCTAGGACCAATTCTGTTTACATTATACATGCTTCCCTTAGGCAGCATCATTAGAAGACATAGCATACATTTTCACTGCTATGCAGATGACACCCAGCTCTATCTGTCCATGAAGCCAGATAACACACACCAATTAGTTAAACTGCAGGAATGTCTTAAAGACATAAAGACCTGGATGGCCGCTAACTTTCTGCTTCTAAATTCAGATAAATTGAGGTTATTGTACTCGGCCCTGAAATCTTAGAAATATGGTATCTAACCAGATTCATGTGACTTCTTCCATTTGCGCAACATCTCTAAAATTAGAAATATCCTGTCTCAGAGTGACGCTGAAAAACTAGTTCATGCATTTATTACTTCCAGGCTGGACGACTGTAATTCATTATTATCAGGATGTCCAAAAACTCCCTGAAAAGCCTTCAGCTAATCCAAAATGCTGCAGCAAGAGTCCTGACAGGGACTAGAAAGAGAGAGCATATTTCTCCTGTTTTGGCTTCCTATGGTTGAAATCCAGAATTGAATTCAAAATCCTGCTCCTCACATACAAGGTCTTAAATAATCAGGCCCCATCTTATCTTAATGACCTTGTAGTACCATATCACCCTATTAGAGCACTTCGCTCTCGCTCTGCAGGCCTACTTGTTGTTCCTAGAGTATTTAAAAGTAGAATGGGAGGCAGAGCCTTCAGTTTTCAGGCCCCTCTTCTGTGGAACCAGCTTCCAGTTTGGATTCAGGAGACAGACACTATCTCTACTTTTAAGATTAGGCTTAAACTTTCCTTTTTGCTAAAGCATATAGTTAGGGCTGGACCAGGTGACCCTGAATCCTCCCTTAGTTATGCTGCAATAGACGTAGGCTGCCGGGGGATTCCCATGATGCATTGAGTTTTTCCTTTCCAGTCACCTTTCTCGCTCACTATGTATTAACAGACCTCTCTGCATTGAATCATATCTGTTATTAACCTCTGTCTCTCTTTATCCTGTCTTCCTTCTCTCACCCCAACCGGTCGCAGCAGATGGCCCCGCCCCTCCCTGACCCTGGTTCTGTCGGAGGTTTCTTCCTGTTAAAAGGGAGTTTTTCCTTCCCACTGTCGCCAAAGGGCTTGCTTATAGGGGGTCATATGATTGTTGGGTTTTTCACCGTATGTATCATTGTAGGGTCTACCTTACAATATGAAGCACTTTGAGGCGACTGTTGTTGTGATGTGGCGCTGTATAAATAGAATTGATTTGAACTGACATGAAATGACATGAAATTCAAATATATTGTGTTTATTTATTACACTGAAACTGATTAATAAGCTATTAATAATGTAACTGTTATTGACATGATGCACAGCCTATTTGTGATTAAAATAACAAACTTTAAATTTTAAATTTCCATCAAAGATGAAATAGTTTTGTTTCATTTTGTTACTTGCAGCCTTCACATCAAAGTGTGTTTGCTTGATATTCATGTGACATTACCAGTTTTCTCTCAGTGTCTCTGTCAGGAGGGTCAGTATTTGCTTTTCTAGGCTCAGTCCCACCTCTCTGTGGTAAATTCCATTTCTGAAAGGAAACAAAAAAATGATTGCAACTTCACCTGTAGATAGATAGATAGATAGATAGATAGATAGATAGATAGATAGATAGATAGATAGATCACAATTACATAGACAATTATTTCGGTTTACAATAGAAAGCTTGGTATTTACTTCACTCCTGCTGGCCGAATGAAGTCAAAGCATAGGTCACAGTTTGATCACGTGCCCTCAAAGCGTGAACAAGGCAGGAAGCTATTTGAGTTGAAGTTGACCTTCAAAATATAAGCTTCAGATTTGAACTCGTGCTACAAACTTTGTAATAACAAATCAGAAGCTCGCTTACGAGCAATTTACATGTTCAGTTGATTTAGGTGAAATTCACAGACTTGAAAGGCAGCGGATGAATTTATTTTTCATGTTATAAGCCAGCGCAGTTTATAATTTACCAGAAAAGAATGACGTCAGTATTTTTACAGACCGGAGCTGAATAATAGTTTGATTCTTCTCTCATGACCATCAACCCTTCTACGCGTATTGTTAAACCAATTATTAACTTGCTCAAGAACTGATATTGGAAAAGTAAAGTTGGAATATGGGATAACCATAATATAATTTCGATATAAGACTTAAGTTGATTGTATTGGTTTTATTTTTCTTTCTTTGTGCGCGTGTGTTTATTTTTATTTAAAAAACAAGCAATCATTGGGCCTTTATTTTGGTGGCTCTAAGCGGAAGAGTCGCTTTACTTACTTCTGCCATTTTAAAACTACCTGTACTAGAACAGGTTGATAGTTTTCAAAGCCAAGAAAGCTTAGGTTGTGTCTAAACAGCCACCTGAGAAATAGATCGAAATCAGAAACGGAAAGTAATGAAGTAGTTTGTCAGCCTGCTTCGTCTCTGTGTCCCCTCTCTGCTTCATCGTTGTGGTCACTTACCTTCCTGCCCTGCGCTGCTGTCAAACTGTGTGTTTCAGCCATGTTAGCCTGAAGGGAACAAAAAGCAAAGAAATAAGCTGCAGATCCAGTTTGTCTGCTATGAGCTGAATGAACAGTGACGCAAAGCTTAATCTCAGCACACACACACACACACACACATTTTTGATAATCAGCTGCCCTGCATGCCTTCCTGTTTCTAACAAGTGCGCTCATTGTGAGGCTACAACTTAAGGCAAAATAAAATAAATCCGCTTCAAGCACAGCAAATTAAATACAATATGTTTTATTTACTTCAAAAGCTTCAAGTTTACAAGTCTCATATTTTTCATACAGCCAAGACTTCTCGAAAAAAGTGCCTGAAAGAATGCAGTCAATTTATTTACCTTCATGTCTGAGGATAAAGTGCAGAGTTCACGCAAAAGCTCAGCGGGAGAAGATACATTTGTTCGGTGGTGTGCCGTGTCAGCTGTCCACTGAATATTTATATTATTAAATATAATATTAGATTTAATATTTAACATTTAGATTTAATATTTAACATTTAGATTTAATATTTAACATTTGATGAAAAGTTACAAATATTTTACTAAATGTTGTAAAAAATTACTCGAAAAAATATGTTTTTGTAAGGTTTTGAGCTAAATGTGGAAAAATGTTGCCGTTAATTTCAGCATGTTTCACTTTATTAACGGCGCCCCATACAGAAATGTTTCTTAAACCAGGTAATCAAACTTGGTCTGCATTTCTATATTTATTAATACAATGCAGAATATAGATATGCAGAGTAAAACAACTCAAGTGCACAGAAGAAATCACGATTTAAAAAAAACAAACAATAAAACTGATTTGACTTTGAGCTGTAAATCTATTCGTTCATCACTCAGTAATTCTCAAATTGAGAGCATCATTAAAAATAAAGACAAACAACAAATATTTTTACTGTTTTTCAAGGGGAATATATTTTTGAAGCTCTACAGTAGGACAGTGCATGAGGCCAAATGCAAACAGAACCACTAGACTTATCTTAATTGTTACGACCTTTAGATACACAATAGTTTTTAATCGGATACAATCAGTGTTCCTATCCCATTTGAGATATCAGGATATAAAGAATAGACTCAATCCATAAATACTCACAGTGTCTGCAGCCGAGCTGTGGAGCTTATTTTTACCTGTGGGCCTGAAATTGTATTTCTAATGTGGTTTAGAGAATACTGAAACACTTCTTGTTGTGACTTTTCTGAAGTCACAAATGAAGAATCAAAGAATGGGAGGAAGCAGAGGACATGGAGTCACAGGAACGGGCTGAGCTGCAGGAAATGGGAAATGCAAGCTACAGTGCACTCGCTGCATACCGTGTTCTACATGCTGGGCACCACATGAAAGCATCTGTTGGTAGCTACAGTTTCTTCTGATTACACTAAACAGATACTTATCAGTGATTTGCTGTAATAACAGAAACAAAGCTGGCAGGGATATTCACATGTGAAGCTCCACCCCTTCTAACCAGAATGAAAATGTGATACTGTGCATATGTTAGTGTTTAAATTGAAGGAATGACATACAACCAGAACAGTACAAAGCAACAGCAGGAAAAGCTACAACCTAAATAAAATGTGGGTTCATGAGATTTTCAAATCAGTACATGCTGTTTTGACTGACTCATTTTATGCAGCATCCAAACTGTTTTGGAAAATGACAAAATGGCTACAGTGAGGTTTAAAACTACAGATAATGAACGCAACAACATTTCAGACATCTTCACAGAAACAAAATGACTATAAAGAGATGAAAAATGCGCACAAGTTATTAAAACGCAGAGAGAAAATCGGTACAAAGAGAAACAAAATAATACACAGTCTATAAGGTCATTTGATAAAGTGAATGCTATCAAGTGGATTTTCCTTCAGCACATATCAGTGTTTGTTGTTGCAGTATTCTAGAACCTTAGCATCCACCAGGTCTCTAGAAATCCATCTAGGGTTCAGTTAACACAGTAAATGGGCCTTTCTACTACAAGGCTCATTCCTCAGTCACACACTTTCATACAGTGCTTTCATCTATGCATAAGCACTTTTCCCCCACACACACAGTCAAACTCTGATGGATGCATGAGGGGCAGAGAAGGTTATGTATCTTGCATACACATGGACTGTAGGAGCTGGGGGTTGATTGGTTGTGGCTGTAGAGTTTGAGAGTTAACATACATCCCATCATCCATCTTGTTCCACTTAATGAATTCAGGGTAGTCAGGGTATTCACAGGGAGAACATCCAAACTCCAGAGGGTGGAGTTTTCTGTGAAGCAACAGTGCTAACCACCTCACCACCGTGGTTCCCTACGCCAGTACGTTTTTTATAGAATTTCCCTATTTAAAAAATTCCACCCATCCATCCATTTAGACAGGTTGGATCACATAAGTTGGATGAGGCCTGTAATCAGAGTAATTGACAGAGTAATGCCCCAACTATGACTAATACCACTAAGGCAGGATGGGACGTACTGAACTGCCAGGTCATGCAAATATACAAAAACTGGACTCACTGATACTTTGACATTTTGATACAAAGGCAAATATATCAATTTGTAAAAACTGTGACATAAAGCAAGAATGGGAAACCATTTTGAACAAGCCTTTATTAAAAGTTTGAACATACATAAAAAACATTTATTGCAACGTATAAAAATTACAAAAACAGAAATAAGCAGTGAAAAAGTTTATAGTTCATTTAATTTAAGTATTTTTTTTAAACTGTCTTCAGGTAAAAACCATTAATATTTTTAAAAAACACTGAAAAACTGAGAGATAAATACAGTCGTGTAAAGCAAAGATATAAAAGGTCCCATTAATTAATATTTTTTAAAAAAACAACAAGAGAGAAATGATTTATTTTAGCTGCATTGATCAATGTCTCTCAAATGAATTGCCCTTTCCAATGAAGTATTCAACGTGACACAAATCACGTAAAATAATGCCAGCACCTACCTGAGACTGAAATATTTACTCTGTCTTACAAAGAGTAAAACATTCATTTAGAAATCCTGCATGGCTTACTTTAAAATGCCAGTGCAACAAGTGGACAGCTCAGTACTTTATATAGAGTTGTCGCTGTGTCTCATATAAGATATAACATATAACTAAGAACAGGATAAGCTTCAAGTGCTTTTACACTTTTCATAACAACATGTCATCAAATGTCAGATATACAGTTTTCCTACTACCTTTAAACCTGTTTTCCTAGTAGGAATGAGAACGATGCTCCCACAGCCAAACCCAGGACCAAGAAGAAGGTCATCAAAGAGCCAGCTGTCTCGCAATCCTTACACCGCACCAACCTGAAGGAGACGAAAACACACAGTTACAACACTATCCAGTACAGTGAACACAACACACAGAGAAGTCGATTCATCTTTTTCATTTATTCTTCAACAAAAACACATGAAAGTTTTTCACAAACCATCAGTACAAGTGAAGTGCTTGTGTCTTCATGTTGCCTGTATTACTTTGGTTTACTTCCTGTTTTATTTTGAAGGTTTAAAACCTCGTGTGGCTTTCTGTTTCCTCCCTGTTGCCTTTCTCTTCCCTCTCTTGTTAATGCCTGATCAAATTCAGTGTTAGTCTCCTTTTTTCCCCTGTGTTTAGTCTGTTTTTGTTGTATTCATTGTTGAAAGTTTTTTGTCATTTGGGATGTGTTTTCTCTCAATTATTGTGCAGCAGTTTGTTATTTTTTAGTTATTAGTTAAAGTACCTTATTTACTTCCTATAAATGTATCCTAGTTTGCTTTTTGTTCTGCAGTAGGGCTGGTGGAGGGTTTCAGGGATCCCTGAACACACAAACTCCCTGAGCGGACACTTGGACCACTGTGAGCAACAGCAGACGTGCACTGTGGTCACGCAGGCATCGAATCCATCCAAGTTACATGGTTTAATAAAGTAATCAAATTACAGCATTTACATTTATGTTAGACTACTTTTAATTAAGTGCTTTAGCCCCACTTACAATGAAAATTTAAAAAAAATCTTGTTCATGACCTGTGTAGTATGCTAACACAATTGGAAGTAAAAATAACTTGAACTCCAACTTTGAAAACACAACTTTCTTTCTTTCTTTTTTCTTTTTTATAAAGCTCTGACTTGTATTATGAGTCTGTGGTCTGGGAGAGAGTCCTGTAACTCTGTCTGCAAAATACAGTAAATAATGAGCATCCATCCATCCATCCATCCTCATCCGCTTAATCCGAGGCCGGGTCGCGGGGGCAGCAGCCTAAACAAAGAGGCCCAGACCTCCCTCTCCCCAGCCACCTCCTCCAGCTTATCCGGGGGAATACCAAGGCGTTCCCAGGCCAGCCGAGAGATATAATCTCTCCAGCGTGTCCTGGGTCTGCCCCGGGGCCTCCTCCCGGTGGGACATGCCTGGAACACCTACCGAGGGCCCAGGGGGCATCCTTGTCAGATGCCCGAACCACCTCACTGGCTCCTTTCGATGTGGAGCAGCAGCTGCTCTACTCTGAGCCCCTCCCGGATGGCCGAACTTCTCACCCTATCTCTAAGGGAGAGGCCAGCCACCCTTCGGAGGAAGCTCATTTCTGCCGCTTGTATCCGCGATCTCGTTCTTTCGGTCACTACCCACAGCTCGTGGCCATAGGTGAGGGTAGGGACGTAGATCGACCGGTAAATTGAGAGCTTCGCTTTTACACTCAGCTCCCTCTTCACCACGACGGACCGGTAAATAATGACCAATGTTGGGCAATTAATTATATAGTTACTTCTTCAAAAAAGTAACTGAGTTTTGCAAACAGCAATTTTTTTTGCAGCTGTTTATCTAAAAATGCAGCCAAGGCGTTTTTTAAATAAACATTTCAAACTTTCTACAGAACAATCAGCTGTTCTGCATCAAATCTGAATCCACACACTCCAAAAAATAATTTGTGTCCACTATGAGATGAAGGAGAACAACAGCCTGATACCTGCAGGCCTGACAGCAGCAGATGTGTCACTGCTGTAACACCTGTAACACTCAGCAGTCGCCTCATTGTTCTGACACACACAACAAAACTATTGACTACACTACACACTAACTACACAAGATTTGCGCTAAACGTCTCAATACACCGCCGTCACCCCTAAAACTTCCTCCTTCCTAAACAACTGTTGCCATATCATTTTTTGATTGGTTGACATGGTACATTTTTCGACCAATAGGAAAGGGTGGGGTTTTTTTGGTTTTGCTTTGCTCACAGGCTTTTGAGTGTTTTCCTTATAAAACGCCGTTTTTACCGTTTCTTCCTGCAGTAAATATAAACAACGACAGTATTCAGGAAGAAAACCAAACATTGCAGATATTTTTATCATAACTCTGGTTTTACGTGGCCGATCAACACAATTTAAAAACTGGTATAAAGTCCACACTTTTTCCGTCAGTTGTTCCGTCTGTCCTGCTCACATCTCCAATGGTTGTACACGTTGTCATTAACGTGGCTTCACTCCACATCAGCCACGCCGCTTTGCTAGCTAAAACACCGGTGTCGGCACATAAGGACGCTGTCATAGCCTGTCAACGACGTTGATTAGCTGCATATATACGAATGTGAATCACATTATTGGCTGGACTATGGGACAAGGTGGCATCGTTCTAATCCCATACTCTGTCAGTGCACCGCAGGGCAGCTGTGGCTACAATGTAGCTTGACATCACCAGTATGTGAATGTGTGTCTGAATAGGTGGATGACTGAATGTAGTGTAAAGCGCTTTGGTGGTACTTAGGAACTAAGTAAAGCGTTATACAAATACAGGCCATTTACCATATGGGAGCAGCCAGTCACTTACTAACACTGCAAAACAAAATTGTTAAAGTTTTAATTTTAGTTTCAATTCCGGTTAAATTTTTTTCTTTTTTTGTGCACAACGCAGATTTTCTGTGCGCAGAGACTGTGCCAGCAGTGCGCACGTGCGCAGTTTAGAGGGAACTTTCCCTGACCCTGTTCAAAATTCACACCAAAAGATTTTGCAGTTGCACCATCCAGCCACTAGGTGCCACAAGACATTCTTCTTCTTCTTGGGTTTTGTTCTGCCAGAAAATTGTGCTGAATGTCTTTGTTTTGTTCCACTGAAGTCTGTGACTTGAATGACATGTTTCACAAGAAACACAGGAATGGTGTGCATGTGTCAGTGGGTGTAGTGTTCTCAGTCAGTGGTAACATACATATAAGGTGCCATATAAAGTAGGCGGTCTGCACCTTTGGCAGAGTTATTTCTTTATTTCGGCTGA